ACCCATACTTCTAAATTCGCTGATGACGGAGCAATATGGGTAAAGCACAGAGATATTTCACAAATCAGAAAAAAACTCCAGTCAGCCCTGGACAGAGTGGATCAATGGTGCAATAAATGGGGGTTTACCCTTTCAAGGGAAAAAACTGTTGGAGTTCTATTCAAACACCGGGGGAAAGATGCCATGATACCCCGTACCTCCATAAGAGGCAAACCAATCAAATTAGAAAAATCTGCAACATTTCTTGGGATGATCCCTTATCAACACCTAACTTGCCACAAACATATAGAATATGTGGAAAACAGATGTCAAAAAGACCTGAACGTATTACGGGCAATTTCAGGCACATCTTTGGGCACATCGAGGGACACTCAGCTGGACCTCTACAAATCACTTATCAGATCAAAAATGGACTATGGTTGTGAGGCCTTTCACTCAGCATCAAATACTGTCTTGAGCCGCCTCGACAGAATACAATACAAAGCCCTAATGCTGGCCACAGGCGCAGCAACAGGCATTTCACTAGAAGCACTACAAGTAGAAACAGGAGAACTCCCATTTAAACTAAGAAGAGAGCAGGCAATGTTATCGTTCTGGGGATGAACATCAAACCCTTTGGTTAAAAAGATATGGCAGAACAAAAACACCCGAGATGAAGCCCTAGCTCGGAAAAATCCCTCACTGAAGCCATCTGGGATATAAGTACGTGAACTAATCTGAAGTCACAATTGTGATGACATTCAGCCTTCAGAAAGTCACAACAAAGTCGTTAAGAACTCCAAAAGTTGACACTGCTTTAACATCAGAAGTCACTAAAAAAGAAAACCCAACCCTACTACGATCAGTAGTTATCACAAAAAATCAAACTACCTTGGACAGCTGGGCCCATATACACTGATGGATCAAAGAATCCTATCAACAACAGTGCTGGTTACGGGATCCATATTCACAGCTCTAAACCCCAAGCACATTCGGTTCGCCTGCCTGATGGTCAGTCAGTATTCACTGCTGAATTGGGGGCAATTCATCATGCACTCAAACTCATACCGGAATTTCCGGAAGCAAAGGCAGTCGTCCAATCAGATCTGGTTCCTCCCTGGTTCTGTGTTCTCCATTCCAGGATGGCATAATATATGGCCTTCATTTCCCTGCAGTTGATATGAAGGTTCTTCTCTGTGTTCCACGATCCCTGTACTGTGAGATCGTCCATATGAGCTCCCCATCCCGTCTGTGAATAGATGATGTTCTAGTGTCGGATAAGTCAGAGGGATGCTACTCATCAGATTGATTGGATCATCTTTATAGTCTTGTGGAATCGATCCTCTGGTGGACATAGATATCCCCTGTCCAGCTGGAATCTTGCTCCGATGTATATAATGTCTGGGACCGGAGTGATCTCTGACTTGGCTGGGTTGACTAGGAATCCTAGGTAAGTCATAAGCTGGACCAAGAATATCATGTTCTGATGTAGCTGATCTTTCCCTTGGTCTGTCGCTAAGAAGTCGTCCAGATAACCATGGATTTGAACTAGCTGGAGATGGGCGAACTTGATGATTGGCGTTGTAATCCTGGTGAATAGCCAAGGTGCTATTGCTATCGCGAATGGTAGGGCTTGGAATTTGTAGCTTTGGCCATGGATTGTGAGGCGTAGATATTTCCGAGATGATGGATGTATCTGGACGTGAAGATATGTATCTGTAAGATCTAGGCTGATAAGCCAGTCTCCCGTCTTCAACATCGGCTGTAACTTCTGTATGGACTCCATCTGGAATTTTGGTGGAGGCACCAGATATCTCTTGTTAAGGGTCTTTAGATCTATTATCATCCTCATCTCGGTTGTGTTCTTCTTCGGGACTAAAAAGACAAGAGAGTAAAAGCCTTTGGTGTTGTTGGACTCCTTTAGTTCCCGAATGGCTCACTTATTTAGTAGTTTCTGACGGCCAATTCTGCAGCTGCTAACTTGGCTACGGGCAGGTGAAATCTTCGACCCACAGTGTGTGTTCAGGCTCGGATGTTTCCTGAAGTGTAGCTTGTAACCGTGAGCCACGACATCTAGAATCCAGTGGTCGGGCATAACTTGCTTCCAATTTTCTGAGTATGACAGAAGGCGCCCTCCCACTGGGCCCTGAGTCGGCGTTATTTTGAAAGACGGTAGGCGTAAATCGCAATCCAAGTCGAAAGGGTCAATAACGTAGGAGGGGGGTTGTAAGGAAGTTAGAACTTTCTCTCCCCTCTGCCGCTTGATCTTCCACGGCGATTATATCCCCGTTTCTTGTAGTTTGGCTGGCGAAAAGAGTCCTGCGAAGATTGTGGCTTGTCATACCTCTGCCTCAGTTGGAACGAATTCTTCCTGGAGGGGACAAACTTTGGGTCCCAGGATCACTTGGGAGAATGTGATGATTCATGAGCCATCGCCGCAAGATCTGTGGTCGAAGTCTTGGAAATGCTCGGCTGTATCTTGTTTCACGCTGAAAGTTGTGGTCGCCGATATCGGTTGCAACGTAATGAACTTCTTGGTCTGGCTAGATACGGCCCTTGACCTAATCTGGGTTAGGAGCTGTTGTCACTGTTGTCTCAGTCACTGTGACAAAGTCCAGACTTGGGATGATAGTAAATCTTCCTGCATCTCGACGATCGAGTCAAGGAGGCTGTGGATTAGTCCGACTTGATCAGTCCTAATAGTCATTGGTTTTTCCTGCGCAATTCCTTCATATGATGATGGTTGTAGAGGCAGTATAATGTGTCTGATTCCAGCGACGAACTAATTTATATATGCCCCAATATCATTCATCACGGGATTGCGCACTTATTTGTAGAAATCTTTATCTAAGCTTGAGAACTCCAGAAGTGCAGCATTGTGCGTCTTGTATAACTTTCGTTTCATAGGTGGAACAGGTAGACGTTCATCGTGCTTGAGCCTATGGATGTTATCCGTCAACTGGTCTTCGACCTTTCCCATATAACTGGGCCAAGGTAATGTCTGATCAATATGCTGAGATGGAGCAGGCGCATGACATCCCTTGGATAAAGCTCTTCAATAAGTTCCATAAAAGTGTAGCCTTCGCTGTAATCTCGTTTGGGTGAGTTATCAATCTCCTCAAAACCCTCTGATAGCTCTGGATAGCCTTGAGTATCTGGCTTGTGTCCCGTTGGACGGTCAAACGATAAGCCGTGGTCGGGGGGCTGTGTAGCCTTGGGTGGATGGCCCATGGAGTCTGTGCGTCGGACGTACGGTTTCTTCACGGTTGGCTGGCTTGCTTGGTTGCCGTGGACGGCCTGTCCATGTATACCATGCGGCTCCCGTGCGATTCCTCTGGTCTGGTGCTGGCTGGCTTAGTGCTGGCTGGCTTGGTGACTGGTCCATGGGTTGGCTGGCTGGCTTGGTTGCCGTGGACGGCCTGTCCATGTATACCATGCGGCTCCCGTGCGATTCCTCTGGTCTGGTGCTGGCTGGCTTGGTGACTGGTCCATGGGTTGGTGACCGTGAGCCACGCCGTGGCCCATGGACTGGCAGCGGTCCGTGTGCTGGCCGTGCAGCTCAGATTGTTGATCTTGTGTAGCATGGCCCACGGCCGTGGACGAAGATCTAGAAGAGCCAAAGCTACCGTCATGATCTTAGCGTCCATATCCGACAGCTTAGAGTCAAGCATGTCCTTCATTATCTCCTGCAGTTCTCTCAGTAGTTGTTGAATGAGACTCATGGTGAGTGCAGGAGATGATGGGGTCGCTGGAGACGGAGGCGCTGGGGTAGACACTGATTTCTCAGTAATTATCTTGTCAACTTTCTTCTTCGCCGCCTCTCTCCTCTTGGCCTTAGTCGCGGCCTCTGACATCTTGGAGAAGATCTCTTCGGATGTGTGGCTGCATTGCTCACATGTCTTCTCCATGGTGCAGGTCTTCCCCCTGCACTTTGTGCAGTTAATATGAGGATCTCCCCTGATCATAAATCAACAACACTTCTTACGCCCGGAGGTGGAGGGAAACTGCATGGCGACCTCACAAATCCAATACCAGCTATACTCATGTGCGTGTTGTCTCTTCCAGTAGCACTATTACTTTAAATATATATCTATTTATATGTCTGTGATTATATCAATCTTATTTGAATAATTTTATGTTAATGTGATCTATTACCAAGTGCTAGATTGTCACTACTACCATAGTAAGTGTTGACTCTATAGCTAGCACAAACAGGAAAAAAGTGATATGGCCGCCATTGTGATGTCACGGCGTGGGTTGTTACTAGACTACTTGGTGGCAACTAATTGTGTGATTGACAGTGAAGAGGACGTCTGTTGAAAATCGGAAAATTTTAGTTAGTGTGATTGAAGCCAAAATACAGGATATGGCAGATATGTGACAGAGGTAGAAGTTTCATAAGAATATATATATATAGCCTCGCCAACAAAAGAAACACGACTATCATACATGTTGGGTAATATATTAAGAATTACTCATATTCAATAGATATTAGATTGGTTCGATGCACAAACAAACATACTGGTATGTAGTGTGAACCAATGCTCATGTACTCATCACATGTGACGTCATAGATCCAAGACTTTAAATGCGTCATTTGTCTTGTATAGGATTAGCGTGTAATGTTTGGAAATCACATGCAGCAAATCGTGATACGAATAAAGACAATCTGTGGTAACACTTGACTGATGGTCAGTTTTGTCATTTAGTGGTTCACATTGGAAACATCTCTTCTTAATGTACATACTTCTCTATGTTTCTATGGTTTGAGTTTCTTTTGGCATTGAGTATATATTCAGTTTCTCTCAACTGTCAGTAATGGAACTCATCATTTGTCAGAAACTTGTACTCATCGATATTTCCAAATTCTATGTTTGACAATTATATGGAAAGAGTAAATCCTGTTTTGTTGATGAAATGTAAACAGCTTTATGGGAAACATAAACTCAGTCCACGGATTTCAAATACATTTTCACATCATAATCAATAGTGCTGTACAGTCAGTGTCGGTACATACTCACATATGACATAAATCTCTTGAAAACAGTTAGAAATCTGATCTGTAGAGCCTGGTGAACCTCTGTGACATCTGTAGAAACCATCATCAGATTTCCACACTACATCATTCAGCAGGAAACTGAACACACCAGATCCTGAGGAGTTAATGTTCCCAGTAAACACAGCCCTTGTCCTGTATGCACTGGCGATGTTCACCTTGTTATAGTTGGTCACATGGAACAGAGTAGCTTCCCTGCGGCTCTGTCTCACTGTAAACTCCCTGACCCCAGGCTGAGGTAGTCTCCAGGACAATGTGGCAGTATATCCATGACGAGCAAAGACTATTGCAGCAGCTGAAACAAAACACATTATCTATACAGTTGGGAAGTGGTTGTTTTTCAATGTTCAGTTCAGTGAAACCAGATCACAACTAACAAAAACTAACACAAATACTTACTTCAGCACATTATTTTTCAAAATAGACACTCTCTCACTTTTCTCCAAGTACAAGGCAGTTAGTAGTGAATAAGCCTTCTCTGTAAATGAGTGTCTGCGAGCCATTGGTATGCTTGAAGCAGGATCGAGTCAACGTGATGTTGCAAGCCAATTAAACGTCCACAGAAACGCCATTTGGTGTTTATTGCAATGTTGGCAACAGACGAATGCAGTCAGAGACCATCCTTGGAGTGGCAGGCCACGCGTAACCATTAATCGACAAGACAACTGGATTCGAACAACACACCTACAAAATCGATTCCAGCCGGCAACAGTGGCTGCAAGAAGCATCCCTGGCCTTCGACGAATATCTTCACAAACCGTACGTCGCTGCCTCAGATGTGCAGGGATTGTCACCAGAAGACCCGCCAGACGTCCCATTTTGACAAGAAACCACTGTCAAGCACGTCTACAGTGGTGCAGACAGCGTCTACGCTGGATGGCCATGCACTGGGGACAAGTTCTATTCACTGACAAGTCTTGTTTTCACCTCAGCCACAGTGATGGAGGGATTCGAGTGTACCGATGTCGAGGTGAACGTTACATCAATCATTGTGTCATGGAAGAAGATCGGTTCGGGGGCGGCAGCGTTATGGTATGGGGTGGGATTACAGCAAGACAGAGGACCCGTTTGATAATGGTAGAGGGAAATCTCAACGACATCGCCCGGCTTCTAATTGCTCGACTTGTTCAGGATTCTCTTCAACAAAACAACGTGAATGACATCCCCTGGCCGGCTCGCTCCCCTGATCTCTCACCAATCGAGCACATGTGGGATGAGATGGATTGGCGCCTTCAACGTCAACCACGTGTTCCACAGACACTCCAGGAACATCGAAACATGCTCCAGCAGATATGGACAGATATCCCACAGGACTTTGTGCGACGCCTGGTCCATTCCATGAGACGAAGATATGTTTCTTGCATCGCAACCAGAGGTGGACACACACGCTATTGATTTATAAATTGACATTTTGGCATGTTCATGTTTTTTATGAAATGACACATTTTCTGAAGTCAGTATGGCAAATTAAACCATTTGAACACTTACAGGAGTCTTTTATCTGTTGCAAACCGAAATTGTTTCAGACTTGGTAAAAAACATAACTTTGCATTAAATTTTATTCAATGTCACAGGAACTTTTGTTGTTCAGTATATGTTGTGATGGCACTGTGTGGCAATTTCCAGCAGCTAGTTTGACTGCATATAAGGGGACATATCTCTCACACATTGTGTCTCATATTTCATGACATCAAGACCAGTTTTCATGTGATGAACACTAAGGGTGTTACGATTCACTCGTGTATTCGGAGAATCGTACCATATCCATTCATGAATTGAATTCATTATTCATGGTCACTAGAATCGAATATTTACGAATATGCAGTCATGTGCATCTACATTCCCTGTACCTTAAAATATCCATAAGAACATATTATATGCAGAGATTTCTTTAAAGACAACACTCATATATATAATTTGACAGTATTGTGGTCACTGGTCATTATCGTATTTGAGCTGATACTACTTACTAGTACCTGGATAAATGCAGTATATAAATGTATAATATATTACTAATTATCCAACCATGTCAAATAATTTATGTTGTTATTTTTCACTGAATATGATAAATTATACATCAACTGCTGACTCGTTATTGTATTCGTGAATAATTATTCGTATTTGTTACCCTATATTTGTGATATGAATCGTAATCGCCTCATAGTGTATTCGTTGCAGCCCTAATGAACACTCATCACCCAGGATTCCCTGCCTAGGCCATTCTTGGAAACTTGACCCACATTAGAAATTGGCACTGGTCCGATCATCCTTTCAAAACTGCGTTAGGGTATCATAAGGACTCATAGAAATTAGCCTTTTTAAAAAGGGTTTCACTATATGTTATCATTATAAGGACAAGTGGACTAAAACATGTTAGTTTCTACCGCTGTTGACCGCGGCCGCCGTTGTGTGAAAACATGTATATTATTATCAATGACTTTTGCTATCACCACTGTATTTTTTGCATTTGATACTGACCACTGCCATCATACTATTTTTTAGATATATATATCATCATCATTTTATGTTGTGGTCATGACATGTCGTCCTTGTCTGCAGTTGAATGTTCAACTCGAGATCCCTTGCAGCCTCTGATTTTTACAGGTTCACCTGGACTTCCCCTGATTATGTTTAATATGTCCACCATAGCATCTTGACTTCAACTGACACCTTATCTCAGATGATACCTGTCTTCTACCTGTCCTTCGGTCCTTCTTTAAACTTCCTTTCTCATCTGCCCACCACATGCATTCTGCATGAACTCTTATGGACGATGACGCTTATTGACATCTTACCTCATGTTTTGACATTATTACCCCCCCCCCCCCAGCTACATAATGGCGCCCTACGTGGGCTGCTACTTTAATCTGTTTTAATCACTTCCAAAGTGATAAGAGGGCAGATCAATAATCATCAGATGTCATCATTTTAGAAGAATTAATGCAATTTCTCATACACTTCCATTGATGGATGATTAATTCACCCCCTGAACTTTTTTAATGTATTTTTTACATCCCAAATTCATAACTCATGAACTTTGACTCAGCCCACAAAGACTGAATTGGACTGTCAATAATCCCTTTACTTATGTCCTAACCTCCACTAACTTGGATGCAACCGAGCATCGTTGGCTTGCAGAACGTGCGACCTATGACTTCTCCCTGGAGTTCTGGGTGCCAGGAATGTTGATGCAGATGCTTTGAACAGGTTACTGCCAGAGTCATGGACATACAAACTGTGTCTGCTTTGTGTAATGGGCAACTGATCTTGTTATGCGCCGTTGAGGTGATGAGTTGCATGTTGGTGGACGGTGGTATGGTACCTTCTGACATTGTCGCTAGCCAAAGGATGATATCATATCAGCAAGCTGATTCCTTAATCTGTACAATTTTGGACCTCATCCATAATGGTAAGCACCCAATCAAGGAGGCTCTCAAACCCATGGACCGGGACACTGCATCCATTCAATAATCAAACTATAGCCGATGGCCGATGGTACCGTATTTTCTTGAGTATATTGCGCACTTTTTTCCCAAAAAACACAGCTATGTAGGAGGGGGTGTGCATTATACACGAAATAATGAGTTTTGATGTTTTTTCCCCCATGGAAAGACATTACTGTGAGCACGTAACACCGGATTACCATGTCAACAAATCCATACTGAAGTACGCAAATTAATCATGTAATTACACTGTCTGGCTATAAAAAGTGCTCTTTGTATATCTGGACTTATGTTTGTATCTTATTTCATTAATATAATTCAAAATTCCATTTAATATTGTTTTAATTAATTTCGGCGAAATCGTGTGTGAAGCGATCGGAAGATTGTACAACTCACCATTATTAACAGCAACCACGGTCAGATTACCGCTATTGACACCTTGAAACGAACTTTAGTTGACAGGGAATGGATACATATATCATAAATGCCATACTGTGAACCGTTAAAAGTCATATTTGTGTTTGTTGGACGACTCTATGTCAACACGTAATTCTCGCGATCACGTGCACGGGAGCCTTGACGGTGACTGGTCAGACTGGTTCCATGTAAAAAATATCACCCTGCAATAGCGATCACCTGCATTGCTTAGGGTTATTATTATTTTAAATATGTTTAGTAAAAGCTGCATCTAAATTAACAAGATATTGGAATATATTATTCCTGATAAAAAAATAGTTTCAGATAAAATTTTTGCCGATCCTTGCATTAAAATCCTGTAAAGTTATATCATTGGGTGTGTCTTGACCGAATCACCGGTAGATTCCAAGAAAACCTGTGTACACCTGATTGATGTGTCCGGCTTAGTTTACGAGAAAATACACAAGGTAATCTTAATCCCTGGATATAAAACAATGCTTAGCAGAACAAAAAATACAATATAAACGGTAAATCAACATGTCTGGTGATTTTTTATCTCAAATTTCGAATTTGTACTGACGAAGTTTCGCATCACCTGATCGTTTGCCGGACTTCCCTAAAGGGGTACGGTGTAAATTTTTTTCTGCGCTTGATATTCAAATTATTTATTTTTTTCCAAAATACTGAATCCGCTAGAGGGGGGTGCGCATTATATATGGGTGTGCACTATACTTAAGAAAATACAGTAATCTGAATCACTGCTAAGAAGAAGTAGGTAGTTGTGAGCAATAGCGTAGTGTGTATGTCTGTATGAGGACAAATCTTCAATAGAATTGGACACCATCTTTAATAACAAACTGCATTTTGAAGGCTTTCAATCTTACGATTCATGGCAGTTTTTTGATTGAATTGTTGATTAATATGAATAAAGTTGTCATATGGGCGCAAATTATTGCCTTTCCCAGACAATGATATTCAGTCGTTGTAAGTTCTTGCTGTTGTACAAGATCTTATTGTTAGTCCATCCTGTTGACGTGAGTTTGGGCTATTGTGTTTTGTATTTTTTTTATCGTGTTAATAAGATCCTTCACTCTTTACACTATGTTGTATAACCCCGAAACCTTGGGACAAATATCGACATTTGCCACATATGCAAACTACAAACTTAAAACTAGGTTTCATGAGTATACCTCCATGAATGGTATAAGATGTAAAAGCGTATCAGGTTTATGGTAAATTTTTAAAAATTGGAAAAAACAGTAAAATGATTATGGACAACAATGATGATAGACATCAGACGACTTGTGATGACATTAGCTCACATGACCTTCAGCTAAATACAAACAGCCATAGGACGGACGTACATTCATTTAATTTCTTCTACAGATTTGTAGCAGTGTTTGATGGTGAGTACTTACAATACATGCGGAGCCGCTGACCACAGTCTGTTATCCTGGATCCTCTAGAGTCTGGAGTGCCACTGTAGCAGCAAAACTGACCTTCGTCATTTAAACCAACATACTTTAGCTCAAGTATCAACCGATCCTGTCCATGAAATTTCAGAGTAAGTCTTGATCTGTATACCTCACTGACAATATTTACGTCTTGGTAGTTTGTCACATGGGCCAGGGTTATGTTCCAGTCAGTATTCCAAACAGTGAACTCCCTGACTACAGGCTGTGGGAGTCTACAGGACAGAGTGACAGTCTCACCGATCACTGCATCATCTGAAAGTGAATTTGTTTGGTTTAATGCCAACTGAAACAGTTTTTCAATTACATCATGGTGTGTCAGCTCACTGTGGATGGAAAGCTTGAAGTGATGCAGACCTTTGACATTTGCCACTTTGGCACAGCCCACGAGCATCCTGCTGTCAAACCTAGAACAATCAGGTAGAAACATGAATTCGAACCCACAGTCATAGGTTTCTGGCACACCTAAGGGACGTAACTCTGCACAGCAAGTTAGGGCGCCATTGAACCAATCTTGCTCTCTACATCATCTGCAAAGGCAATAGTCATAGTAACAGCATTCAACATAAACCATGACAGTACAAACATCTAGTGCACTGAATGCTAGGCTCTCATTTCATTCAGTTCATATATTTGACCTGAGCATATCTAAACATACTGAACTATAAATGATTATACATGGAAAAGCATGGTAATGCAGGCCTCAAATGTCTTAAAGAAGACAATATATCAGTAATACCCTTAAAGTTGAACAAGGTCTAGATTAGTTTTTTAGATAATTGTCATTCAACTCGTTATTATGTGGGCATTAATATTGTTATGGCCATTTTCATTGTAAATATACAGATGTTGAACATGTTTGCGGCAATTTTGATAAGTGATTTCCTTGTTGTTGAAAATGATGCTAGAAATATTATCTCAAATGATAATCATGGGCTGTGATCTTTTTTTAATGACAATCCATCACCACCACCACCAACCACCACTACCCCTGTAACAGGTTCTTACATACATAGGCTTTGATGCCCTTTCAGTCGCATATTCCAAAATAAATTCACTTAAAGAACATTTCATCCTCCAATTCTGGCACAAGTCCACTTAAGTTCTGCCTTGACATGGGTAGCAATTAAGATATGTACTGCATTACATTTTCTGGAAAAATTATGGACTAATTCAAATCTATGAAACCAGATGATTATTGGAAGGTTGGGCTGTTAGAATCAAGAAGTATCTGTTGTTCTACAGATAATTCTTTAGCCAGCACATGACTCGGCTGATGACATATCTGAATCTGTACTGTCACCCAAAGGTATGATAACTGGTGCAACACGGCCGATATCTACGCTGTTATGTTGGCGGTACTGACGTTCTATTTCAAGAACGTGATCTTCAGCCTTTCGCCAAACCCTGATCAACCTTTTGAGGTGTGGGAGTTTGAATGCTTTGCAATGTCTTGCCTTGAACCCTTTACAGTTGACCCAAATAAGCTCAATATGATTGAGCTCACGATGTTTGACTGGTGTATGTAGGAAAACATGACCGTGTTGTGCTACCAGGACAAATGTCTTGTACTTTACTGGTTTGGTTATCAGGAGAATCTTCTTCATGAGTTGAACTTTCATTTCAAATGATCTGAAGTCGACATTGCAAGATGTCAGATATTCCTGTATAGTCACTTTCAGACTACTCATAGTTGGCTCTACTGCATCTGGTTCCCGTACATTATGATAACTGGTGACAATGACACTGGGGTTACTTTGATTGGGCAGTATCTGATTTTCCAACCAATCTATGAACACATCACGTTGCCTTATAATACCGAGGTAATCACCATTATTCTTTTTGGCCTCTGAAACTAGCTGTCATCCATCAATAAGGTTCCGGTGTGCAAAACAATGGCACAATTACCTTTACCTGTTGGTACCATGAGTGCTTTTTGTCCATCTGATGCCACATGTATTCACCCAGGTTGCATCAAGGTAATGATCTGGAAACCCTGACTGAGAGTATGTGACCTCAGACAGGATGGAATATTTTTCTCTGAAAATCATGTCATCGCCACGTGCAGTGTATCAGGGTTTTTTTTTATATAACTGTCTTTAATTTCCTTCCGAATCCTACTACAAATCGGGGGTACCTTCTGCTTATAAAGCTGTGTAATACACTTTTACTTAACGGTTTTGTAGTTGAGACGACCCCTAACTTCTTTGTTATTTATGGTACAGTAGACTTGTTGGTATGAAATACCCAGAGTTTGTGCAGTTAGGTAATACGGCCTATCTAAACTATTAAATGGTTTCCCTCTATCTGTCTCAAGTGTGAAGAACTTAATACATTTGTGTATACATTTCCCAGTACAGACTCCACGTCATGTACCATGGCTATGGCTATGCAAGTGTAATGCAACATGCATCATTGGAGCATTGTTGACAAAACAAATGCAGCGTCATTTTGTTATTTTCTAAAGTGCAGATCCAGGTACGAGTGTGACAATGTGACAATGACCAGTGACCACAATACTGTCAAATTAAATAGTCTAAGAGAGTTGTCTTTTGAAGAAATCTATGCATAAAATATGTTCTTATGTGTATTGTTTTATGTAAATGCATATGCTTGCATATTTATAAACATTCAATTCTTGTGGCCACAAATAACAAATTCAATTTTTCACAAATGGATACGGTTAGATTCACCGAATACGCGAGTGAATCGTAACAGCCCTAGTAGATAGGTAGTTACTTGATATTTCAATAACAACATTCTGTGAAACATTCTGTCTTATTTTAATGGTCATCTGTGACCAAGGTGTTAGATTTTCTGACAGACCTCACCTCTTCATTAACTGCTTCATTAACTCTTTCAACACCAGTCAACCAGAAGTGTTTACTGCTGGGACACCGAGTTCCCAGAGACTCTTGTGTGATAGATGAAGCCAACATTAATCAAAGAAAATACCTGCTTGTAAAATATATTTGCTACTAGAGGTGTAACGATACGGGAGGGTCGCGATACGATACAGGGGTCGCGATACGATACGTATCACGATACAGTGTTTACTGGTACAAGCTAAGCCAAGTTGATGTCTTTCTGCTATCTAAAAGATGTGACAAGTACAGTTGAAGAAGATATAAGGTGTTTATTTACTGTTATAGCAAATTGTCAGCAATACAGTATGTTTTACTGAAACAACAAACTGGCTTTGAAACTGTATTTCATGGGCGCACCAATGTATAATGCGCACGCCCCTCTAGCGAGTTCAATATTTTGGAAAAAAAAGAAATTGATTATTATGCGCAGAAAATTTTTACACCGTACCCCTTCAGCGAAGTCCGGCAAACGAACGGGTGATGAGAAACTTCGTCAGTAAAAATTCGAAATTTGAGATAAAAAATCACCAGACATATTGATTTACCGTTAAAAATGGTATTTTTTGTTCAGCTAGGCATTGTTTTATATCCAGGGATTAAGATTACCTTGTGTATTTTCTCGTAAACTAAGCCGGACACAGCAATCAGCTGTACATGTACACACGTTTTCTTGGAATCTACCGGTGATTCGGTCAAGACACACCCAATAATATAACTTTACAGTATTTTAATGCAAGGATCGGCAAAAGTTGTATCTGAAACTATTTTTTTTATCAGGAATAATATATTCCAATATATTGTTAATTTAGATGCAGCTTTTACTAAACATATTTAAAATAATAATAACCCTAAGCGAAGCAGCTGATCGCGATTGCCGGGTATTATTTTTTACATGGAACCAGTCTGACAAGTCACCGTCAAGGCTCCCGTGCACGTGATCGCGTGATCGCGAGAATTACGTGTTGACATAGAATCGTCCAACAAAAACAAATCTGACTTTTAACGAATCAAAGTATGGCATTTATGATATATGTATCCATTCTCTGTCAACTAAAATTCCTTTCAAGGCGTCAATAGCGGTAATCTGACCGTGGTTGCTGTTAATAATTGTGACTTGTGCGATCTTCCGATCGCTTCACACACGATTTCGCCGAAATTAATTAAAACAATATTAAAAGGAATTTTGAATAAAATTAATGAAATAAGTTACAAACATGAGTCCAGATATACAAAGAACACTTTTTTATAGCCAGACAGTGTAATTACATGAATAATTTGTGAACTTCAGTATGGATTTGTTGACATGGTATTTCCCATGGGGGAAAAACATCAAAACTCATTAATTCGTGTATAGTGCGCAACCCCTTCTACACAGCTGTGTTTTTTGGAAAAAAAGTGCGCACTATACTCAAGAAAATACAGTAGGTAAAACTGTGTTATGAAAATATCGTATGTATCGCAATACATGCTTTCCAAATCGATGCATCGTATCGTGGGCTGTGCATCGGGATACAATACTGTATCGCCGTATCGTTACACCACTGTTTGCTACTACATGTTATACACCATTTGAAAGGTCTGATCCTATGGTTTATAAATATGAAAGTTATGTTTTTCACATTATTTAAAAAAATGCATTTACAACTTAATTAAATTCGTTGTAAATAAAAAAATGTACGCTAACACGTTGTTAACATCCAGATTAAGGACCAAGGAAGCGAAAACCTTTATCGACGATTTTCGGCAAATATATGATTTCACAATATCCACGTACCTATTTCTGTTTTATTTTCATTGTTTACGTGATTGGAAAATCATTTTAAAAAGAATTATAAATAGTTTCTGTCATCACCCATTTCCCGATAACAGCGACTGTCAACTCAGTAAAATGAAGAAATACCCCTGTTTTCGTATGAATAACACGTTCGACGAAGAATGGCATATGACACATCGCTGGAAAGCTTATTCCTTCATCTACAGGCTCGTAACATCGCCTGGTTTTTTCCCCCGTAGTTATAACAAGCGATTTCAATGGATTAAAATTGGTTTCTAATGACGCTTTCTTGCCAAAATCTGCTACAAGTTTCGTGATTGGTCAATTTTGAGCACGTGACCTAAGGCAGCCAATCAAATTACAGCTGTGATCGATAAATTACAGAAGTTGGCGAAAGATTTTTGTTAAATCGTGTTATTCTGAATGTTTTGAGCAGGAAATCATGATATATATTAAAAATATAGAACTTCGGGAATGTATCGTGCTAGGTTACGAGCTGTGCCAAAGATTTTTCATGCATACATTTTTGCATTTAACATCATGTCCGAGCCGAGAATTCAAGGCGACGAAAGCCGAGATGTCATTTGACTTACATTACACGCAATCGCACGAAA